TATAGTTCTGAAATCTTGACCATTAGCACTGAGGAAAATATGCATAAAATGCGTGTGTATATGAATTGCTAACTTTTGGGACTGTGATCTTTTCACATTTGCTTTGTAGTAATCCAAATTACAAATCATTTCTTATCGACAAAATATTTATAAACCAAACATGAGTTGCTAGATCGTACTTTAACTATTAATAACCTCCCATTTAGAACTCTTGGAATATAACATACAGCAGAAGCAGTCTCAGATGCTGGAGATGCAGGTGGAGCTCAGCAGTGTGAAGGACCGAGCAACAGAACTGCAGGAGCAGCTGAATTCTGAGAAAATGGTGGTTGCTGAACTGAAGAGTGAACTTGCACAAACCAAATTGGAACTAGAGACAACACTTAAGGCACAGCATAAGCACCTCAAAGAACTGGAGGCATTCAGGTGTGCCTAGTTTCTTTATCATACACCTGTGTTAGTGAAGAACTGCAATAATTTTGTCACAGACACTGGGCAGATCTGACAAAAACATAACATTATGCATGATGTTTAAATAGCATCATATTTTGTTATTTTATAAGCAGAACTACAGTGGAAAGGAAAAATTCCAAACTTTTCCAAATGATAAATTTGTGAGTAGGTATTGGTATATTCTCTACTGTGGCTTCAGTTCTATTTGAGACTTATATAAAATATATAATTTTAACCTTTATTTTACCACCAAGTAATTTGAAATGACATGATTTCAATACAATTTATGGTTCAAGTAGATAATATATGCAAAATGTTTTAAAAGACAATGCTTGTAAAAAGAATAAATTTGTGGGTGTAAATACTGAGATATTCTTCTTGCTAAGTATTCATTACAAGTACAGTCTTTATATGGAACATTATTTTCACACAAACACATGTTAATGTCTGTGATCAGTAAAAGACAAAGGAAAATTTTTCTTAATATTATTTTGTAACAGTAAATTGTTTTTAATGGTAAATAATAACTAATATTACTGCTAGAAACAGTTCACTTGAAATGAACTAGTCAAAAATCTTTATATGGTTTATATTTTTCTATTAGCTAGTTTATAATATGCCTCCACTTTTCAGTGGAAGCTGTACTCCATCTTTGTCACTATATAGTCCAAGTCATTTTATGAGGGTTCATTTGTGTCTCTGATTTAGGTTGGAAGTTAAAGATAAAACAGATGAAGTACATTTGCTTAATGACTCATTAGCAAGTGAACAGAAAAAGTCCAGAGAGTTCCAGTGGGCTTTGGAGAAAGAGAAAGCCAAACTGGGGCGCAGTGAAGAGCGGGACAAAGAGGAACTGGAGGTACTGTTATCTCTGTCACTAAATATCTGTGGAAAATCCAAAAAACGATAGAGAGAGAGAGTCTGGAGACCTTTCTCTTTCTTACATGTCCACCTGAGGCTCTTTATGCGGTACAATAAGTTGTTGGCTATGTGTTGAATACTATTATAATGTTACCTGAGCTGTTTTATCAGGAAATGCTAATAGTGCTGCTTTCTTTGCTTTACTACATCCAAGGATGCATACAGACTGTCCTGCTACAAAATGTGTTTGGGAATTTGAATTAGTACATATACAGTGTGATAAATACGGCAGTCGTGTCGGCTTAACACAGAAGTAGTTTGGGTTCCTGTGTTGTCCTAGGGAAGGAGAGCAGTGATACTTTTCTGGCAGCAGGAGTCCCTGCTGCTATGAGTCCCTTCACTCTGGGCTCTGTCCCAGGAAGCACAGCTCTCAGCTCAGGGCAGGCTGCCCTGCTCTCAGGGCCCCCTTTAACCATAGCCCTACTGGCCCATGCTCTTCTGTTCACATGATCCCAACTCGCCAGCTGTATACTAAAAACTATGTAGCCAGCATTTCTGCCATGTTACTTTTGAGGTTTCTTCTTGTTTGAATGTCCACCATGGTAGCCTCAAGGCACAGTGAGCTCTGCCTGGCAAGGACATGTTATCTCCTCAGGTACTGATTTCCGTTTTTTAACTGTTACAGATTTGCATAGGTTTTGAGTAGTTTGAAAACCCTGCTTTCCCCACAGCCCTATTAGTTTTATTATGTGATCTTGGAAAACCCAAAGTTTTTCAGTACCTCATATCACATTATATCAGAAATACTTATATTTTTGATGGTTATTGTTCCTAGAAGAAATGTACCCTGCTTCATATTCCTTAACCAGATATGATGGTTAATATTTGGAGAGAAAGTATTACTTAGCTATCTTTGGTTTATATTCTTTGGTGAAAATCACCTGGCTGTCCAAATAATGCTCTAACCACTGAAAATTTAAGTTAATAAACTAAATAATCAGTTCTGTTACCAAATACTACCACCTTAGTATTAATAAAGGCACAATTATATTCTTATAAAGTATTGTTAATAATATTAACACATTCTTAATTTCAACTTTCCTACAAGGACCTGAAGTTTTCACTTGAGGGTCAGAAACAAAGGAATATTCAGCTAAATCAACTTTTGGAACAACAGAAACAACTACTAAACGAATCACAGCAGGAAATAGAATCACAACGAATGCTGCACGATGCCCAGTTATCAGAAGAACGAGGTCGAAACTTGGAGCTGCAAGTACTTCTTGAATCCGAGAAAGTTCGAATTCAGGAAATGAGCAGCACCCTGGATCGGGAGCGAGAACTGCGCACACAGCTGCAGCAGCGCAGTAATGATGACAGTGGGCAACCTCAGCCCCCCTTACCCTCCGAGGACCTCCTCAGAGAGCTCCAGAAACAGCTAGAGGAGAAACACAGTCGCATAGTGGAATTGTTAAGTGAGACTGAGAAATATAAACTGGATTCTTTGCAAACAAGACAGCAAATGGAAAAGGATAGGCAGGTTCACAGGAAGACGCTGCAGACGGAGCAGGAGGCCAACACTGAAGGACAGAAGAAAATGCACGAGCTCCAGGCCAAAGTGGAAGACCTGCAGCGCCAGCTGGAGGAGAAACGGCGACAGGTGTATAAGTTAGACCTCGAAGGGAAGCGTCTGCAAGGAATTATGCAGGAATTCCAGAAGCAAGAACTAGAGCGAGAAGAAAAACGAGAAAGTCGAAGAATGCTGTACCAGAATCTTAATGAGGTAAATTGATGCTTTGTTTTAAAATAGTTTTAAAATGTTTGATGTTCGATTAAATTATTTAAATAGCTATGTACAAATCATTTAAAAATGACATCTATAGAAGTTTATTTGGAGTATAAACAATACAGCAGGACCTCAAATAACACGTTTTCATTCAACTTTGCTATAACATTAATGAGATGCAGTAGGAACTTAACTCATGTTTATATCAATTAGCATATGGTAAACTGGTTTCTTTTTCTTTTTTTTTTTAAGATTTTATTAGGGAATTGGGAAGAGGGGAACATCGTTTGGGAATTGGGGACAGGGAACAGACAGGTAGACAAGTTGCTGTTTTTGTTCTTCAGTCTAGTTGTGGAGGACGTCGCTTCACTCGCCCAAGTTGGCACCATCATTGCACTCTTCCTGGGCGAGGCACATCAGTC